ATCTGATGGAAGGTTTACTCCACAGACACCAATCAAGAAATACTTACGCAGCAAAAATTTGGATTAGCCTGAATGCAGGAAATTTTTTAATTCAAGATTGAAAATAGCCTGTTAAATTTTAAAACATCAGCTGTCATTCACTTGACATTTTCTTTGAGTATGCAAATTGTGAAAGTCTAGACGCTTCCGTACTTGAGGACTAATGCACAAATATTTACTCTAAAATGACAAGTTACACCAAACAAAAGATGGGGTTGATCGCAGCCTGTATTTTTGTGGTTTACGCTGTAGCAGTTACTCCTGCGTTAGTTATTTCGAGAAAATCAGAGAGATCATTGAGTTCTTCGTTCATGAAATTCTCTCAGCCCGTATTTCCGCAGTCGCTGGGCAAGGCTTCTCGACAAATTGTTTAAAAACTACCGTTGTCTCATTATGAAGGCCAAAACATAGTAAATATCTTCTCTAAAGGATTTCGGAACGTTAAACTTCGATCTAGAGCAGATTTATATGTTTCACCTTATGACGCTATCAACTTCACGTGGTTTCCTAGAAATTTGACAATAAATGTCTGGAGAATGGCGTGGTGCCTATCATTTCCTGGAACAATCACGAAGCAGAGGCACTCACGAGTGACTATGATCGGGAGAATTACGTAACTTGGTGGACAGCCGTGGCGAGTGAATTAAAGGATAGAGACTAAAGAATTAGCTTCAATCTTTTTACTGAACTGGGTCTCGATGGCTAGCTGCGGAGGGAAAAAATCCAGCCGCGGCGAGTCTTTACGAATGAGGCCGGACAAATACAACCGTTAGAAACAGCCGTCCGTTCATCGGGAAACAACTGGAAACGTATTCTTATACTTGGATCACTGGGTAACACAGCCAAAGATTTTGGTAATAAAGATCGTGCAAAATATTTATAAGAACGATCAGTATCTGCTGGCTGAGTGGCATATTTACGCTTCAGGGCCGAACAAGAGGGTTGAGGGGCAGAAGTATTGGAGCGGGGATCGACTCCCGAAAGGTCACTACAACGTCAGAGAAGCGATCAAACAGGCAACAGTGTTCACCCGAAGAAGTAGCCTGTTGACTTATCTTGGTGCATGGACGCCGGCAGACAATACGGGGGGAAGCTTGAGAGAGGTCACAAATTTTGCTCGATTTTTTGCAAGAAAGTTGCGAAAATAAAACATTCCTTGGTCTTTAAATTAACTCGACCGCTACTACGACACAGAGAATTGCGCCAGAATGGCTGACACATGAGCTGGATATAAAGGATCATTGCAGGAGTATTAGAAAACATTCAGAGCGTAACGTGACATACCAAGCAGCCTCACCGGTGAAGATGTTATGTCGAGCTTAAGTATTTTTGTATACAGTGTAACTTGTAACATCACTGGATCGAATCCACCACTCAGGTGAAAGGTTACGAAATTCTTCACTGTTATTAGATGAGAAACTAAATGCAAAGGTAATTTTATCTGCTTTACTTGTAGTTAATTCAATTTTGTTTTCCTGAGTCCATTTCTACCCTCATTGTCTCGCATTTAGTCAGAAGGCATAATTCTCAGTCAATATCTGATTCTCAAATGTTTATTTCTAGCCACAACTCATTGTGTGTATTCACTTAAAACACATAGCTGTAGACTGTATGGTTCTGTTCTCCGTTTCCTTTTAGCCAAGTGGAAAATGGGTGGGTTTCAAAGAATGGGATAATTTGAAGGAAAGGGTTTCAACTGAATGAAAATTCTTTATATTGTTTTTTTAACATTTCTTTTCATATAAACAAGAAGAATTTTGCTCCCTTGACAACCCAACATATTCTCCATACTGTTCTCTATACATCACCTTAAGTTCCAACAAGGAGAATTTGTCTAACAATCAAGTTTCTTTAGTTGGTGACCACTTCCTTTACTCCTGTGACCTTAATGTGATTCATGGGTGATACTATTTAAAGGAAACATTGGTTACTAGTCAATCTTAGGGGTTGAAGGTTGGTATTTTTATTCATGGGTGATATTGTAAGGAGAAATTAGATGCTAATCACTCTTAGCGGTTAAGGGGTTAATGTAACCCCTGATTGATATTCAACTTGTTTTTCTCACCGTCAGTCTGCTAAAAAGTTGGTCAATACTCTAGGTATAAATTTTTTCCCAAATGGTTACATGCACATTGAGGGCATCACTCAACCTCTGAGCTTACCTTCATTTCCAGCAAAAAAGAGAAACATCACAACTGTTCTGTAGGCTACACAAAATAATGGTGAAGTCTACACTTCGGCTAGAGCTTCTCCGATTCCTTGGCATGAAGCAACAAGTAGTATCAACACCCTCCCATGGATTGGATGTTAGTCCATCTCAAGGTTCTCCCCATGCTTCCCTGACCATTTGCCAGTACCCATTTACATTCCTAGGTGGAGAGAAGCACTTGGAGAGTTAAGTATTTTGTCCAAGGACACAACATCCACCAGGTCTCAGGCCCAGATCTCTTTACCTGGAGTCCAGTACACCACACAGTAGGTCACTATTAGGCTACATAAGAGAATACCACAATCTTCAAATTTCATGTACTTATGACTATAACAAAGTTGCAGGAAAGAGTGAACTAAACAAAACTGCATTGAAGACTTCCAGCCCCAAAGTTGAGAGGAGCAGCAAGCTGCTTACTCATTCTTTTCTTTAATTTTGTTTGTTTGTTTGTTTTTTTTGCGCAAGACAAATCAAGAGAAGCCAACAATAACTTGTATATGAGAGGCTGGATGAGAATTTTAAGATGGCAGGATATTGATTTAATACACAACTACCTTCTGACATCACACATCAAGTGCACTGGTTTTGAATGGATTGGCAGAGAAAGACTGCTTCACAGATTAGCAGGGCTCTTAATTAACCCTTAATTTCCCACAGGTAACCAACACAGAATTTCTCCCTACAATATCAATGAATATCAAGCAGACAAGTGATGAAAATTAAGAAAAATATAAATAAGGGGATTATTAGTTGATCCAATACCAAGTTCTCCAAACTAACACCACAATAACTGTATCACAGTTACTAGTGAGATCTTGAGAGTGAACATGTTAATTTGGAATGTTCACCCACTGAGTACCTGTTTCACAACATAGAAGTGAAACAAAAGCTTCCACTGGGATTGCTGTGAATGTTTTCAAATCAACTACATATTTCAATACAATGTCATAAATTCCTTCACTAAGTTTAATAAAAATAGATTGGTCAGAATATAACTTCCTCTTTGTACAAATATACATTTTCAAAAAAGTTATGCATAATACTTGCAAAGATCATTCTCATTCAAAGCCAGTAACTTTTAGAAAAATCCTAATTTTCCATCTTTGTTGTTTTCTGTACAAGTCACTTAGGCAAGACTTCTGTTATGCTATGAAGAGAGCTACGATTACAATTTTTTCATGAAAACTAAAAATGATATTAAAATTCCTTTCAGTTTCGGGTGAAACATGCAAGCAGTTATAAATAATTCAATAACTTACAAGGCCTTAAAAAAGTCAGATTGAATTGTAAAAATATAATCATACATCCAGTAGATTATTTAACAACAGAGGGTAGCAAATCCCATCATATATAGACACCTAACTGGTGTGGTAATTTTAGAATTTTCTTATTTACTTCACCACAATTAAGACAACGCAAACTAAAGTTTGCTTTCCCACACATATATAGATTATTTGAATAATATACACAACGCTATTCAAGTTGGATTCGATCCAATTTGATTAACTCGATCGAAGAACGAAAATCTTGCACATCTTAAATCGAAAGATCACTCTATGTCAGCTTTCCACAAATCTTAAAAACCTAGAGATTTTTGCCACATGTTTGAAATTTACAATATGTTGAACTAAATGTTGCCAATTTTACATCGAAGCATTTTCTCAATTTAAAAAAGAATTAAACATTCTAAGAACTGATTATCAGTGTAATGCAGTTTTTTTTCTTCTCTATTTCTTTAAACACCTTGACTAATGTTTAAGTTTTGTGCTTGTACTAAAATAGCTGTACCCGGAGTTCCATCCATTCGAACTGCAACGAATTCGTGAGCAACACTCATATCGTTTAGATAGTGTTCTGTCGCATCGCCCGTAAAATATTCATTCTCACTCAATTGATTCTGTTCAACGGCGACCGCAACATTTGGAAGATCTACTTCCACAACTGCCGAACGATCACTTTCCACTTTAGTTTTGATCTCCTCAGGCCGTGGTTCAATTACTGGCAAGTTTGAAATTTCTTGTTGAGGGATCGGCCGAATAGCGATGGTTTCTCCTGAGCTCATCACGCCATTCCCTTTGACTGGCCTTCCATTTGAGTGTGTCCGTACATGCTTTGACAGATGATCACTTCGCATAAAACGTTTTCCGCATTCTGGACACGCAAAACGTTTTTCGCCCGTATGAGTTCTTCGATGGCGTTGCAACTCGTCGGATCGAGTGAATCGTTTTCCGCAAAATAGCCAATTGCACACAAATGGGCGCTCGCCCGTGTGCCAGCGCAGATGCGCCCGCAAGTGAGATGTCTTGCCGTAAACCTTCCCGCAGCCTGGAATATGACAGATGTGTTGTTTACGACCATCAGCTGTTCTTCCTTCACCTTCTCTGCAATTAGGACAAGTACAGGCGACCCGTCGAAGCCGCCGATTGCTCCCTTGTCCAACATTAACGCTGACATTTTGAGCATCTTGCGGAGATTCTGGATGAACCTGTACCTGAATAGCTGCGTTTCCGTTCGCAGCGTTTGATGCGGCAGCGATGACGTTAACCGTTCCAGTGGAGAGCCATTTATTCGGTTCTGTGCTTTCTTGAGTTAAAATTATCTGCCCTTGTGGTGTCCTTGTAACTTGAACGTAGGCAGGATTCTGTGCGTTGTTGTCAACTGCCGCTTCTTGTCCCTGTTGCTCAATAATAGACATACCAGCGTCGCTAGTTCCCACTGTTGTTGAGTACGAAGGCGACACTACAAATTGATGCGAAGGACTACTTGTGCTTTTAGCCCAAGATAAAGGCTTTCCTTGCCACCACTGTGCTCCGATCGCAGTGTTATTTTCTCCTGAGTCGGATTTTACCGTCCATACTCCATCTACCGTTTTAGACAAGTCGTATTCCGGAGTATATGCGAGATTAACGCTGGCTTCGGTGTTTGTTACAAGTCCTTGTTGTGAAAGAACAACAGGACTTGATGTAACGGTTGCATAATACATCTGGCCTTGTTCCACCTGGTTTATGGAGGCATATAGACCCGTGTTGGAGTGATTTTGCGTTTGGAGAACGTTTGGTGTATTGGAGTTGTAAACATCGTCATTTGTATGCGACGATCCGTTCTGTTCCGAAACCCACGAGGTCGCGAACTCTTGGTGTGTGTCTAGTTGGTTGATCGGCGCTTGTAGGATATTCTGAGGCGCTTCAAATCCTTGTCCGATCTTGCTACAAGTCGCAGCTAGCAGGGCCAGAGGAGAGGGTTGGATTTCCTGTCGATTAAAAGCGTTTGGTGGGCGGGCACAAGGAAAAGGGGTGTGAGTTTGAAAAGTTGAGTACATTTACCGTGTTGCAAATCAGAATGCTTCACAAAAGGTGCACTCCATTTACCTGAGAATTCTGCGGCGGTTGAATATACTCCATTTGTCCCCGATGGAATGTCATGGTCGTCATTATGTTTGAGTTGTCGTCTGATTACTTTCACAAATCATTTTTTTACTCCTACCAAACGCCGCATTCGTATCCACGAGCTCCCTTTTCATGACAAACGCTAAGTTCGAGAGGACAGCTGCTTACAGAAGCACTCAAATGGCTTCGCGAAATTGACCAATCACTGAGCGTCTTGCTCCATTTGACTGACAGCGCTTAACGCAATTGTAAATGGAAACCATGTGCCTCAGCTGTCATTTTCGCTGCTTCGCAACGAGGCCTTTAAAGCGAGAATGGAGAAATTTAGTTATCGAGTAAACATCACGTTTAACTTGGTTTCACTATTTGTTTAAAGCGTGGGCGATTAAAAGAAATTTCAATTTTGATTGCCACTATCTTTTTTCGATGCGGAAATTACTTCCTCTCGTACTTTCGTTTACCGAGATCCTGTATTTAAATGCACCTTTTCTTTCAATCAAAGGTTAAAGATTTAGAAACTTATTTGAAGGCGGCTCTATTTGATCTCATCACTGATCTTACCGATAGACAACTTTCGTCGCTATTTACATAGGCTGGTTACTCCGTCAGTTAACAATTTCGTATCAAAAGATTCCAAATTGTTTATCAGATGGCATGACTCTCTCTAAAACCTTCAGTATTTTTAACAGAATAGAAATATCTCGTCTATCAAAACGCTGTCTCAGAAATTTCCTGAAAAACCTTTTAAAAGCCTTCATACAACATCTGATCGATTATTCCTCTTTTCGGTTCATTTTGGCTTCGATCAGGCTAATGCGCTTAATCATTCTAATTAACTCTTCGATTATTTTTGGAGGGAAGATGTTTATTTGAAGTAGAAAGTCCTAAATCCATAGCGTGCGTCAAGCGAATGACGAGTGAAAAGGAAACAGTTGCAGTGCAACTTCGTTGAGAACTAATTTCTACAAGAATAACCTAAACCCTTTAAATCCCGTGAGTGACCAAGACAAAATTTCTCCTATATCTGTACAACATCATGCAAACAAGTGATGAGATTAAAGAAAAATATCAATTGTAAAATTACTCATTGATCCGCTACAAACTTAATGAGAATCATTTGGCAGACAGAAGGGAGAATTACTAGTGAGATCTTGGGAGTTAAAGGGTTAATACTGATTTTAATCCATATTCATCAATTACTGGTCTTTTTGTCTGTATTTCACTCAAATTCGCTTTGTTTATGCATCAGAAGACATGCTGAAGAGAACGCTGATTTCATTCTTTTAACTTAACACCTTCACGGTTTATCGCATACGTTGCTCTGAACTTGCGTGTAGGGCAGCACATTTCAAAACATAACGAGATGTTGTAAATTTTCGACATAGCGCTTTTTTCCCAAAATAACTAATACTGGAGGTTATTTCCAATTTTTTTTCCAATGGTTTTTACCGCTTAGGAGAGGGAATAATAGCGAAAGTGAGTATAGAGCTTACATTCAATTCAATTGTTCTGAAAGGAGATACAACTTAATCCTGTAATAACTGTTAATTTGAGAGGTTATTTTCAACGTCGTTTTCATTCGTACTTGTACTTACTTGTATAAAGTTCTTGTTTATATAGTTTAGTTTGAAGATGATAGCATCAGTTTAGTGTTTCATATCCTAATGCTTTGATGTTTTAATTAATTTTGAATTATTGCACTCAGTTGAAGCGATCCGTAAGCAGTAACTTTCATGGAGTCCTCTAAATGATAAAAAAATTATTCAGCTCTTGTAAGCCCATCAAATAATCTCTTCTGGATAAATATAAGCCTGGTAAATCTCCTATAAGCCGAGGTTTTAGCAGCGTTTTTCTTTCAGTCCATGCACTTCATCCTTATCATTCCCAAACCAGCTTTTTTCGTAGGCTTTGGTCATGCACTCTGGTGTTTGCGAGGTACAGTTCTAAATAAAAGTGGTAAGGGGAGGGGAGGGTTGTTACATAAATATTAACTCTCAAACGAGGGTGGTTGCATTGACATACACTACCAAGTTACATCGACCATTAAATTAAAAAAAATTATCAAGTTTTACTGAGTATCCGTAGAATTCTAATACAAAAATTTCTTACAAAGCTGTTCAAAGTTACAGGATTGTTGACACGATCTTGTGAAAGCTATCATCAACTGACCCGAAGTTTCGTTATGGCCGGGTGCAACTGATTTACAGCCCTAACCTTCACGGATGATCAACATGCAACTTCTCCTTAAATTTTCAATGCTGACTGACTGAGTTTGATCGGGCCGAAAGGCAATATTTGGCTCTCGGCCATGATTCATGGATCGAGCGAAGTCATAACCTCCAGCCAATTATTTTGACCCGTCCAGCCCTCCTACTCAGTCAACAAGTACATAATATTCCATAGATGAAAGTGATTTTGGTACATAGCTAAAAAAGGAAAAGCAAAACAAAGCTCAAACACTGTGGTGTAAACCTCTGGGGGTAAATGTTGTTTTGAGTAAGACGTTCGTATATTCGGGGAAATGAGAATTTTTTTGCAAAGAATTTACTCGACTCGAGAGAGAGCTTGTCCGTGGAGAAATATTCTCTTAAAAGAAAGATAACAGAAGTTAGGAAAAACATCACAGACACTAGATGGAAAAACTGCGAGAAAATAGTAACAAATCCTACTGTTTTAAGCACTTATGAAAAAAAATTTATAAGAGCTCAAATTATTACTATTAGGAATGTTTATACGGCATCACGGATCTAATAATTCTCCTGATAAATTTTGATGGCCATTTTTAAAATCTGTCTTTCATAAATCAATAAAACCTTCCGCAACCTTTTCCTCTTTACAATATTATTGTCTCTATTTGAAAATATAATCTGTCTTCGTCACCGCTGTTTTCCCTTTTTCGCCTTACTACCCTTAAGGGCCTCTATTTCGTCTTGCTGTGAGGTGAGCTTCTCATTCATTCCGCACAAATGATCGCTCATCATTGATAACTGTGTCTCGTAGCTTCGCTTGATTGTCTCCACCTCGTCCTAAAAAATACGCGGGAGACTTGTAGGCACACTCGTTCAAATGGCGAAGAACGATAAACACACACGCGTCAAGAAGAGGGAAAGCAGCAAGTACGCTAACGTTTAGAGGCGGGAAGACAGTCATCAAAGGTGCGCTTACTGGTGAGAAAACAGTGAACTTACACGCGTTTCGAGGCGAGAAAACAGTGAAAGGAACAACAAAACAATCAACAAAGGCGCATTTAATGCGAGAAAACCGTGAGCATACGGACATTAAGTTGCAGTAAAAGGTGAAAATACGCGCTTACTGGTGGGAAAACAGTGAACACACATGCGTTTAAAGGTGGGAAAACAGTTGACAAAGGCGCGTTTAGTACGAGAACACAATAAGCATTAAGACGTTTAGAAGCAGAAAGTGAACAGATGCGCTTAGTGGCGGGAAAGTAGCGAACGTAAACGAGTTTAGTGGCGGGAAAACAGTGAATACAAACGCACATAGTGGCGGCAAAACATACAAGCAACTTATTGACGATACACCGATACATGAACAATCTCGGAAGCGTTTATAGTCAGTTTTAGCTCACCTCTAGTTGGCTGACTTTGGAGGTTGCAGTCTTGAGATTTTTCGCGAGTTCTTGTTTTGTCTTTTCAGCCTGTTTCATGCGTCGGTACAGAGCGCGGCACTGATCAAAAAAAAATGAATGACAACGCAAATGAAACAAAAGAGTAACTAAATAAGTATAGCGCTAAGTTTTCAACTGAATTAAAAAAATCCTGGCCAATGTAGATCATTCCTTTCATTCCTAGTGTAACAAGAAAACCACAGTAAATTGCGTTGGTTAGTTTTACTTCGCTCGTGATTGGTCAAGAAAACTCACACCACCCTCTCGACCAATCACATGAAAACTTAAACCAGCTACGACTTGATTGCAGGCGATTTCCCGCGCCTAAGACAGTCGAAATCTGAATTAAGGGAGTAAGTTTCTGAAGAAACTGTGGTGCTGCGTCGGTGGAAGTGTTTAACAGGGTAATTTTGTATTATAGATGGCCACCGCAAAGAGTTACAAAGCTGACTTTTCGAGCGATAGCCCTTCGTCGGAGCGAAAAATAAAACGAGAAGACTTGAGAAGCTGTTTACCTCTGTACTTATGGATACAGTCTTGCTCTCAGCAAATTGTACCTAAGAAAAATACAAACAATCCATAATTCTTCGAAATCCAAGGGAAGAATATTTTCCCAGCCTCTGGAACATGAAGCTATCAGGAGTATTGCTTCTCACCCTGGACGATAAGCCAGTCTATTGCAGGGTTACCCCCAACCCTTCAGCCCTCAGCATTTTCCCGAGTTTCCCAAACAGCCCGTTGGTGCCTAATAATACTCCTAGGTCGAGAGAGGCATTTTGGGAGTAAAGGGTTTTGCGCAAGAGCACAACACAATGACCCTGCCAGGTTTCGAACCCAGACCCCTTGCCTCGGGATTCGGCGTGCTCACCGCCAGGGCACTGAGTTCTCTACCCTCCCCCTCCCAATTTATAATTGCGGAGTATTCTGCGCCAAAATAACTAACAATTTGTAATTTTAGTAATTTACCTGTGAAGTAAGCTCAGCTACTCTCTGTGTAAAATGATTTTTGATCAGTGTTTCCCTTGTTACTTCCTCTGCTCCCTGAAATTGCATTGAAAAAAGCACGTTACTTATAAGTTTCTTAAAAATCTTGAGTAAAATATCCCAGAAACAGCGCAAGACATTGAGGTTGTCCGCGGTATTCACCGTGACCAGCGCATGCGTATTAGCGGCCTTTTCCTTATAGCCACGACCAACCAGAGAAGTACATCGTCATTTCATCTAAACCCTTTAAACGCTAAGAGTGATAAGCACTTAGTTTCTCCTTACAAGATCACTTCTAATTCACATATTCAGATCACAGGAATAAAGGAAATGATCATCAAGTAAAAGAGCTCATGATTGTTAAACAAATTCTCCTTGTCAGCACCTTAGAAAATGTATAGAGAACAGTATGGAGAATATGCATACTGATGTTAGGGTGTAAAGAGTTAAAATGTGTATAGTGACAAGTAACTTTATTTCTGTAAAATAAATCCTCAGGCTAACTTCCAAAGCAAAACAAGAAAAAGTCACAGGAAACTTGAATTTAGCAACGAGAAAAGAAGGCGTCAATTCCTTCAGCACCGTTTACAAGAATATTCAATCACCGAAATTCGTTTCATTTCGACAAAATTTGGTTCTTACCTCGGCTTGGCTGAGTAGCGCCACTCCTCCAAGCTATATTCACACAAATGAAATTTAAAACAGCACCACAGTTAGCAATGTCATTTAAGATCATTCTAGATTAGCATATATTATCTATTTTCTGACTGGAGAGGCATGGGAGAGAGTAGAAGGAGCACAAAGAGTTATGGGATTGTAAACTGAGACTGTTATACGGCTGGGACATTCTACGGTCAACCTTGCAGTTAGATCAATGCTCCCTAGCAAATCAAACTCTGTTTATAGCGACATTCCTATAACTGTTATGAACAGCTTAAAATCTGGATTCCCAAAGACCTCAAGGGTTGCACCACTGCCTTGGACAGGGGTGCACGTTCTTTATTTTTTCTGCTTAGAATCTAGGAGTTTGCAGCTCTGGTGCATTTTTATTTCTTTAAACGCAGTTAGTATCCTTCCAGATGTTGAAGCTATAGAAATAGATAGCACACTGCCTTAGCTGGCCAACGCGCCCACAAGAAAAACAGAAGGTCCTCAAAAATCAAAAGAATAAAATGGAGCAAATTAAAGGCAGAAGATAAATTCCTACGTCAGACGGCGGGGCCTGGACCTCGTAACTATGTGACGTCAATGATGAATGTGATGAAATGGATCCAGTTTCGTCCGAGATAGACTGGAACAGAACATAAGTGAAAACGTAAACTGATAAAGTTACACAAAACCAATATGAAAGCAACTTGAAACTCAATTAGAAAGAGAATTTCACTTACCGACAGGCCGTCTACTGTTGGTAGTACTCCTTTGGCAGTCTGAAGTTTGCTTATCTCTTCCTCCAGATCTCGTACTTTCTAATGAAAGGTTACGAAAATAAATTGATATACGAACAAAAAAATAAAATAAAATTCCTAGTTTACAACAGAACTGTTTAGCGGAAAAATACCAAAAATATCTTATTAATTTTAAAGCCCATGCAACTCTAAGAGAATTTCAACTATTAACTTAATTTATGCAGATACAGAGGTGGGACAAACCTTGACTTCTTTTTCATGTTTCACTTGTAAAAGTTGAGATTCTAACATCCAATGTTCCTTGGCTTGTTCAAGCTTGGAAAGCTTTTCGTGAGTCATTGAAATCTATGCGAGAGAAAGATAAGTTATATCTGACATGCACATATACCCATTTGTGCAGGAGCTTATCCCAGTTTCTAGAAAATAAATCGATCAGGAGTATTTTCACTTCTGCTGGATGGGATGTTGTTTCACCGATTCGTCAACTCTCCCTTAATCGTGTCAAAAGTTTTCCGGGATTGCTCTGATTTTGCTTCACCTCGCTCTGTGATTGGTCCAGATGCAAAACTAAAACCAAACACGACTTGCTCGCCCGCGTTTTCCCGCGCTATAGGATGTTTGGTCGGTTTTTAAGTTTTCATTGGCCCTTACAGGTATTTTCCTTTCATCGGATTGGCCGTCGTGATTACTTTGGTTTTGTTCTTATGACACTCAATCGAAAAGCGCTCTAACACAACAAAATGACCAGGCCAAGGCTCGAAAACAGAGCTCTCGAGTTTGTTGACGATGAGGCCGTGCGTGTCCCCAGTTAAAGAAAAAAGCATCAAAATCATGCAAATATAACAAGTTCCTGACTAATACCTTGTAACCTAACAACAGAAACTTAAGCTTTCTACGAGAAGACCAAATGGTATTTTCTCCGTTTCTTTTATTACGAAATCTAAGTCATTTAGTTGAGAGAACCAAGATGATGATCCTTGAACGAAAAGCTTTTACCCAAAAACAGATTCTCACGAGTAAAAATGGCTTACCTGCTGTTCTAAGGAATCTTTGCTTTCTGTCGAACTTAACAGGATCTTGTGATTTTTAAGCGCTACTCTGTAAGGAACTGACTCCGGGGATGGCTGGAAGAAACACAATAAACATCATGTTTTTTTGTTTTTTTTTTT